GTCTGACAGTGTAGGAACTCCAGATGTCATATTCACCCCTTCACAGGGTTCAGTGGGGATTTTTTTGTTGTTGTCTTTTAAAATTGTTGTGGCCTGACCCTGTGCTGAGAATCAGCTTGAGCTGTAAACTTAATGTCTGTTAAGAGCATTATCCTGGGCATGTGTGGTAAGTTAATTTTCTCTGAATATGCACTTGTTTTTTTTAATGTCCTAGTCTTTAATGTCTGCATCCTGAAAGGGGAAAAGTGGGAAAAATAGAGGAGGAGAGTTGCTGGCCCTCTAAACCTCCTCAGGAAGTAACCTGAGCCAGAATCGGGGATTGCAACCCTGGGGGAAGGAGAGACAATGGCTGCCAGCCTCTCTGCACCTTGGTGATCAGAAGCAGCAGAGAACTGCCCCCCAGTATGCAGGGGACAGTCTTTTTCTTCCACCCTCAGTCCTGCAGGCTGTGACCACCGGCTCCAGCAAAACTTGCAAAGCTGCTCAGCATGGATGGAGGCTGTGGGTGGGTGGGTGGCTGTTGCTGTGCTAAGAGCTTAACTTGTGTCTAGTTTATCATCCCGGCCTCCCTGGGAGTTGCAAGGCTCCAGCAGGCTCCGGAGTTCCCAGGTGAACATCTGAGAGGTTCTGCCAGTGCAGTTGGTGTCTAGGTTGGGAGAGAGACTCCTGATGCTCCCTACTCGGCCTCCTTCCCAGAATCCTCCTCTGTTCCCATCTGATCTGTTTAGGCTGATGCACTCTGAGTTGTGTGACTAGAAACAGATGGAAGATCAAGTTGGCCTGAAGACCACAGACCAATTTTCAGTCATGCCCCCTTCAAGTTTGCTCTTTGTTCCCCACCTCAGGGAATTCAAGGCCAAAGTCAGGTTGCAGGAATCACCAGAAAATCATGTGATTCTGGACTCCACACATGAAGACAGTATCAACAATAAAGGTCCACAGAGACAGAGGTGCAAGGCTGCTTATTGAGAAAAAGCAAGAAGTCAATTCACTGAGCATCTAGTATATTCTATATTGGGATGGTGCACTCGGTGCTGGGATGGTGACAAGGAAAAAGAACGAGTTCCTGAATCCTCAGTGGGGTTCACCTGAGTGCTCACTACACGTTCAGACTGACATCATCTTTACGAAGACGTTGGTGTGTGTGGAGTGTCATACACGTGGGTTTACATCTTTGACTGAAAACGTCTGAGTTCTGTGTGGGAACAAGGTTGTGAGCAGACACCAAATCACTGGTAGAGCAACAAGAACTGGTCACTGCACCCCAAGCACTGATCATCATCAGCTACTTGTTCTTCCCACCATGTCTCCTTGGTCAGAAACTTATTAAAGAGGTCACTTTAAAGTTGAGTCATGGTGCCTACAAGAAGGTATTTTATAAAAACACTGATTCAAAGCAGACTCAGGGGAGACATACTTAACACCTAAAGAAAGGCTTTGACACTTGGTGTTCTCGTAGGATGTCAGCTAAACCAAGACTGAAATACATGTCCCGGAATTCCTTGCATGCATGGCTGTTGGTGAGACCACAGGACCTTGTGTGAGATTCAGAAAGTGGAAGCAATGCAGCAGCCACATGCTTCTTACATGTGGAAGGTCAGTGGGCAGAGTCGTCTGGCACGTGGTGGGCACTCAGTGAACAGCAGTATGACCTATTTCTGCCTGTGTCTGCAGGACAGCTTTTTCTCCACACGTTTCTCAGCAGCTGATACCACCCCAGCCTTGTCCATGCTGGGCAGACCTTTCAAGATTTTACTCCTTGGTCTTAGGTATGTTAAAAAGGCAGGGTCCCTCCAGGCATGGATATTTAAGTTTCTGAAAAATGAACAGATAACACAGGAAAACCTTTTGCTTTTTCTTGCTCCAACCAGATTCCAAGGTGGAGGGAGGCAAGGATCTAATATCTAGAAAAAAGAATCTGAAAACCACAGGAACCCAACCACTGAAGTTCCTTATCTCAACCTGCAGCATGATTTACAAAGCAAACCACACTTGTGTGTCATGTACAGGTGGATCCCAGCATCTTCACTGCAGTGGGATGTGAGGCCTGTGGCTCTGTGCCTTTCCAGTGCCAGCAAACGCTTAGGGATTCGGAGGGGCTACCGACCCCTCATTCCCTATGCCAAGGGATTCACGCTTCCGACTAGAAAAGGACCTACTTCGGACATGTGTAAGGGCATCAGGTGACCTGGATAACCATGGCACAGTCACTTTACCATTGGTCTTCCCCTCTCTGGGTCTCCAAGGTCCTCAGGGAGCCCCTGCATCATGGCTCTGCTCCACTGTCCCATCCAGGGGTAGCAGTTAGCTCCAACAGGATGCTTCTTGGGATGACACTCAGTGATGTCCCCTTTTTGTTGGGTATTATTCAGGTCACACATAGATTACATGCAGTTAGAAAAGATAAATTATTCAGCTCTGGCCGGGTGACTCAGTTAGGTGGAGCATCATCCTATAAAGCAAAAGGATGCAGGTTTGATTCCCAGGCATGGCACACACCTAGGTTGCAGGTTCGATCCCTGGTCTGGCATGCATGGGAAGCGACCAATTGATATTTCTTTCTCACATCAATGTTTCTCTCTCTCCCAAACCAGAAAGCAAATCCTTGGGTGAGGATTCAGAAAGGAAGAAAAAAAGAGAGATTAGCGATACAAATGCAGCAGCCTCAGAATGAGTGGGCGTTCTCCACATGCTCTCCTACCCCCCAAAGAAACGTCAGACGTGCATGAGAGAGAAATCTCAAAGGGAGCCCCGAAGGTCCCCCAACATTTTCAATCCATTAGAGAACGTCCTTTTCTGTACAGCGCTGTCAGCCATTGCCACTCAAACACGTAAGCAGCCAATGGACGGAAATGACGCACAGCTGGGCTGGGGGATTCTGAGTTTGGGATTCTGACTAATCACCCCACACTCTGTGTGTCTGACACCCAGGTCACCAGTGTCACAGAGGGTGTTCTAATGCGCTGCGCTGAGAGGGGAGTTCGGTGTCGTCACAGAGACCAGTCAGGAAGGACAAAGTGCTTCCCGACACCCCTCCTGCTTTGCAGCCAGGTGCGGGCTGCCTCCAATTACCTGCATCTCAAATTCACAGCCAGGAAGCTGCTCTGGCTCATCTCAAGGTCCCCAGCTTAATTATTATTTGCTTAGGAAATACAGGCAAACACGGGTATTATCTCATTACCAAATGACTTAGCTGCCTAAGGGGAGGAGTATGACTCAAATGCAGAGATGAAGCAAGGAATTCAGAGAATGAAAGGCCTGGGGCCTGCGTCCCCTGTCTAGAGACAGTGCTACCTCTGGAGAAAGGCGCACCCCCTGGGCCAGGCCCACAGCCCCTCCCTTTTGTAGTGTGTGATGTGTCCTCCAAGGCGTGTGACAGCATCTCCTTAGGCCTTCAGACTGTGCGACCATGACTGTCCAATGAAATATGCTGCTTAAGAAGGAATGTATACTTACCACGGGGCATCGGCTGACATAGACTTACTTATATTTCACATTTTTATTAAAGGGCAAATTAAATCTCTTCCCAAATTGAACCTACATTACAATCACTTAAAATGGTCGAATACCCACCGGTTAATGAAAACACAGATCCTCTTGTTTCCTGACTACGTGGTTCACTCGAACACAGACACGTCACTCCTCTGTGTTCAGCCCAGTGTGGACTCACGGTGCATGTCACAGTGCAGAGCAGGGCTACGCTGTCCTTGCCACCTTCCTGTCCCATTGCACTCAGCTGACTATGGTTTTCCAAGCCAAACAACCTTCCCTGAAGACACCTTAAGCAAAACCAAGAACAATGTGAAACCACGTTTCTGTAGTTAAGGAATAGAAAAAAAAAGTGGATCTGAATGGTTTTTTTTGGTTTGGTTTGAACTCACTTCACTCCATATACATCTAAAAGACAGTTCAAAGACACTTGCCAATTTCTAGACAAACTGTGTAAGATTTCCGGGTTTGCTGAAAGAATGTATGAAGCTTCTTTTCCTCAAGTGGTGATGTCACCTTCTGAGTGTTTGCTCGGACCCACCCACTCACCCTTCCCCTCTGTCTCCTCCACACTCTTGCCTGCCCCACCACCCCCGGTAACACAGACACACTTGGGGGACAGTGGCTGGGCTAATCTAATTGTGGACACTTTTCATGTGTTACCAGCAGAAAGCTAAGTGGCCTTTTCAGGATCAAATCTCAGTCTTGGGCTCACTGGGCTCACACTCCCGTCCACAGAGCTGCAAATGCTAAACAGTTGAGCACACAAACAAAATCAATTCCTGCTTTTCATATTTCCTAGGTAAGATTTGGGGCTTTGGGAGGAAATACCTCATGGAAAAACAAAAAAGCATGACTGAGAATCTAAAACAATTTTAGTTATTGTTAATGCTGAAACAGAATATAATTTCATTTGTTCCATGGCTAAGAACCCAGGTATAAAAGGAAATGACATTATTTTTAGTTTTGAATGAGCCGTAACCCCATAATGGAAGTGTTTTGTCAAAACTGCCACAGAATTAAACCGAATCTAAAATATGACTGCCAGCATTCTTTACGATGTAAAACAGTGAGATGCTGCGGCTGAAGTGAGTGCTTTAGGTCGCCAAATGCTTTCCCAAGAGTGCCCCTTAGGTTGTGGGACTAGAAAGCCAGGCTCATCGTGTTCACCAGGAAGGACTAAGATTCAGGGACCTGTACAGAGGTTGAGACCTGCCCTAACTCAGGGCCCCAGTATTAGGGACTCTGAGCTAGATGCACCTGCAGGGGGCGCTTTCTTCACTTCTTCCTCACAACCTGCACCAGCACAGGGAAGTTCTCAGTGCAGGAAGAGAAAGCCCTGGGTGTCAGGTCTGCGAGGAATACCCTAATGCGGGAGAGCGACTACTGAGTTTTCCATCCCCAGAATTTGTTTTTGAAAATTCAGCTACTTAATAATAGTAAAAAATCAAGGCGGATTTGTTTCATGAGAGAGGTTTGTAAATAAGTACCATAAACCAGTGTATGAGCCAGTAAGTTTTAAAAGACAACAGAAAAAGCTGCATGGGTCCTTTGTGGACGTGTAAATACATCCACTCCTGGTCAGAGACGGTACAAGAGCAAGTCGTACATTCTGAACAGCAAGGGTTGGTGTGGAAATCGGGTACTGAGTAACAGCGAGGCTGACAAGCGGGACTGCGGTCAACATTGTTTCCTAAAAGGAGCAGATGAAGGAAAAAAGCACGATTCTGATGGCTCTTTCCACACCTCGGCCTCTCAGAACCTCACCGAAAACACAGAAAACTGACCCAGACACCCCTCTGCTCCCTGTCATTGCTGAAGAGAGTCTCAGGAATGACAGAATTCCTCCTCAGGGACAGGCAGGGGTGGTAGAAAGCCAGCTCAGAGGGGGGCGGGACCACTCAGGAGGGGGCGGGGCTAAGTCTGCAAGCAAGTGGCCTGTGAGGTTCTTGGTGCCAAGTCTGTGATGCTGCTGTGGGCCTGAGCAGCAGGTCCCCTGCTGAGGGGACAGCAGGCCCCTCCACTGTGGCTTCTGCTGGTTAAAAATGCAACAGTCGCATTCGCAGCACTTCAGTGATTTAACACACAGAGCTCCACCCTCCTCTCCCCCATCCATCTGCAGGAAAGGAGGAATTCAGGAGGCCTTCATTTGCAGGTTTCTGAAGTGCTACTGAAATTCTATCACACGTGACACCTAACAGACAGCCCGATGGTCAGGAGCATCCGGGAACCCTGCACTGCACAGTGGACACCGACCTAAACTGAAATGAGCTGGACTTCCGCTGCCGGCCCCACCTCTCCACACCAACGGCCACCTGTTTGTGTCCCCACAGTGGTCCCTCACCTCCCCTCAATGGCAGCACTGGGCGGCAGCAGCAGAGTGTGGCTTTGTGGGGACTACTGGTTTTGCCCTGTGCTTCCAGAATCACACAGACTGTGACAAACTGCACATTGAACACGGTCAGTCCTGAGTTGGGGAAAGCCCGGGGAGCAGGCCGAGTTCATTAGGACTCTTCCCTCCTTTGCGTGGCGTCATACGTGGTCTCTAGCTCGCCCTTCTTCCTTTGCAGGACTTCCTGTTCCTTGTTGATTGGTGACCCCTTCTAATGTCTTCTTGCCCACTGCTTTACTGGCCTCTTCCTGAGGAAGAAATGAGTGAAATGTTCGAGTCATTCCTGGCCCCACCGACCGTCTGTCAAGTCTGACAGGAGAGGGCGGTGCAAGGACTTCATTTCGGTTTCCTGAGTGGGTCAGTCAGGGCTGTGCTGCCAATGGTTTAGAGTGGGAGAGTGTACTTTTCTTTGGTTAAATGACTAGCTCGCCACCATTAAATAATCAAGTCCATGTGACAAAAGAGGGTGAGGAGCGCAGGATGAGCTCAGGATACAGCTCTGTGGCAGGGAGGCTGACCTGTGTGCCACTGGCCAGGAACCTCCAGGGGGAGGGCGGGAGGCTGGGCCTCCCCACCACAGCCCAGCTGCTGGGAAAATCGGAGGTCTCAACCTGCAGGTGTGATTTGGAAAAAACCTGAAGTGCCTGATTTGTTTAATTCCCAGGGAATGAAGTTTCCTTGTGTCCCGCACAGACAAGTCAGTGCCCCTACTTCCTGCTGTTGGTGTAGGAACAGCCCCACCCACCCTGGACCCGCTCCAGCCTCGGGCCAGACCGCACCGCGCTCCCTGCTCCGTGCTCCCGGGGTTCTGCAGGGAAGGGGCTTCTGCACACACCTTGGCGTCCCGCTCTGCGAACTTGGAGAACATGTTGGCGTAGGTCTTGCGGTCCCGCTCGTTGTGCTCCTTCCCCCTCTTCCGGCACACGGAGATCTGCAGCCTCGCGGCCTTGTTCTGGGGGTTGACCGCCAGCACCCTCTCGAAGTCGCCCTCGGCCAGCTGGAACTCGTTCATGAGCAGACGGGCCTCACCCCTGCGGTACAAGCCCTTCTCGTTGGTGCGGTCCAGTCCCAGGGCCTAGAATGCACGGTTCGGTTTTAGAGAGAATGAGTGTAACTAGTGGGCATTTTAAAGACACTCAGTATTTAAATAACTCACTAAAGCTTTCTGGCCAATAACTCACTAATTTGTAGAAAAAGCACACTGAAAGATGGGCTCAAGGTTATTCTATGCTACTGATCAAAATACAACTCACTACCGGAATTAATTTCTGTATTTAATACAATTTCTCTAAGATCACTAAAGGGTCTGGAAGGGGGATCCTGAGAAGTACGTTTTAAAGTTTCATGGAAGGAATCAGTGCCCAAGAATGACTAGGAAAATTTTGAAAAAACAAAAGTAATAAGAGGGCCATGCCTTACCTGAGGAAAAGATACACCACTAAACTACCGACACTAAACCAGCTCGGTCACTGGTCCGCGGGCACAGAGGCCAGTGGGACAGAACGAAGTGTTCAGAGGCAGGTCCTCAGAGCACGAATCGGCTCTGCAGTCAATGGGGCCCAGACAGCAGCCGCCCATGACGGAGATGAGAGTTAGTTCTTACCACATCATAAACACAAAATATATTCTAAACCAAGTGTATTTACATGCAACCCCTCTGAAAATATAGTAGCCTTATTTTAAAATATTAAAAAAAAATAAACCTAGTTGGACTAGGTTTTGCAAGTATTGAATGGGGTTATTTTTATCTTATTAAGGTGGGGAAGACCTTTAACTAGAAAGGAGAAGACGGATTTGAGTATGAAATCAGCAAAACTTTCTTCACAAGAAATATGCTATCAACCAGGTTAAACACAGACAAGAAGGGGCCCAGCACCCTGACTGTCAGACCGCGGGGTGACAGCCATGACGTCCAAGCCATCTCAGTCAGTCGGAAATGGACAGTGTAGTCCAGGCTGTGAACAGGAAATTCACCAAAGTGCAAATGAAAAACAATGGGAAAACATGCAATAAGAAATAAAAATAAAATGTATTGTTGACGATGATATTAGGAAAGAAACACTGATAATGTTCAATGATAACATATAGCATTCAAGGTGAAAATGTGAATGTATTAAAATCATGTCTTTTCACCCAGCATTCCCACTTCGACAATCTGTCCTGTAGAAACAAGCCCACGAGTCAGCACAGGGAGACACTGCGGAGTTTGTAACACCAAATACCCGGGAATCTGTCAAAGGCGGTTGGCTAGATAGACCACAGATGCACACAGTAGGTACTGAATAGATATTTAAAGGGATGAGGCAGAGTTACGTGATAGACTGGTACGATGCAGAAAGATGTGTTTAAAGCTGTATATTCTCAGGTTTGAAAAGCGCACCCATCTGCTCTTCTGTGTGGGAAACACGGAGGGAATGTGTGTGAGACAATGACGGGCCTTGAAGAGACGTCAGTGGGGATTTCACAAGGGACCTTCATGTTCCTGTGTGTGTCTGCAGTGCGTGAATTTTGAATAACTTTACACTATCATAATACAAAGAAAGAAGCAAAAAGCTTAAACAGTGTAATTAACAGCAATGTTTCTTTCTTAGGCAAAAATTTAGTGAGACGTGATAGGAAAGGTACTGATCCACAAAATTAAAAATACCAGAATTCAAAAATGATCTTTCAAAGAATTTGTGAAACAGTGGCTTGTTTTTTGGATCCCTTTCTGTTTACCCTGACGACACACCCCACCATCAGCTGCACCCACAGCACAACACACACGCTCACTCTGAGACCAGACACCTGACGGGACAGGCAGCTGTGCTGGTGGTGCACAGGGACATCGGACACACTGCAGAGGGACACTGGCCCCGCACAGCCGAGTCCTGAAAGACCGGGAGCGGCAGCAGCGGCACAGGTGTGGACAGGGAGAGGGCCGAGGACGGCCGGTGGGCCCCTCAGGGTGGTCTCGTGTGCTCCTGCCAAGGGAGTAAACGTGGTGACAGGGACAGTGGCTTCTCCACACCGCCTCCACCTGAGCAGCTGCCATCGTCACAGTAAGTCCTGAAAGGCTCCAGTCAAACCTGTTCTTATTGAACCGAACCTGAGGAGCTGTAAGTGCCATAGATTTGAGGAAGGTCATGGGTAAAATTTGTTTCATCCTCTCAAACCTTTTATTCCTAATGTATTACTATCAATAGTCTAGGCATCAGGAAAGTCTTTAATTGAAACCCTTCTGAATTTCCCAGTTCCTACTGAGGAACAAATACTCCCAGACATAAATACACGAAGCCAAATAAGAAACCCGCTGACCCTTGGCTGAGAAGAAGGAACAGCAGCCCAGGGGTGAGGGTGGAGGGAAGCTGTGGGGTGTGGGAAGCGCCCCCCACGCCGACTGCACCTTGTCGCAGCACTCCACGGCTTTGATGTATTCTCGGAGCTTCAGGTAGCACATGGCCAGGTTCAGGAAGGCGGCGAGCAGAAAGGCATCTGAAGCTTTAGATTCCTTCTCTGACAAGCCGTACTCCATCTCCAACCAGGTCACGATCTTCCCGTACTGAATCACCGCCTGCACGTACTTGCCTCCCTAGGAGAAAGGAGCTCGGAATTACTCTGTGCAGCTGGACAGGGGGTGCAGGGACCCAGAGAAGGGTCGGCTCAGGCCTCCCCGAGAACCAAATCCTGAAAAGGGAAACCCTCCTCATACCAAACCTGGGGTCTGATCATTTCTTTTCGGTCTGAGGGGCCGGCTCCCCAGGCACTTCCCCATCCTTCCCGGGGTCCTGGAGACCCTCCAGCTGCTTCAGGACACGGAGCACAGGTGTTCCCAACACTCAGCACCCGCTCTTTCCCGGGGGGCAGTCCTCTGTGCGGGGGGGCAGCAGGCTTTGGGGTTTATTCTCTGGTGTTAATCTCTCAGACCTTCAGAAGGTCAGTGAGTAGTTTTAGACTATGTCACTAGTGCACTTAAAGGGACAGTCACCTTTCCCTTTGCTCCTGACCACCAGCACTGCACAGTGGGTACAAGCAGCGGCAGACAACCTGTAAATAACTGGGGCCACGTCCCGGGAGAACCGCACTTACAAAAACAAGCTACAGTTTGCTGACCTACAACAATGGGAACATACTCGGTTGAAAAAGCAGCACCAACAAAAATAACTGTGAAACACAAATTCCAGAGGTGGCAGACAGGAGAGACATCTTTCCCTTAGTCGTGTTTTCACTCTCCCCTGATTTGTAGAATGCGAACATACCGTGAGTAACAGCATGTGACTAGTTCACGTGTGTGAGTCACACACATGCTCTACACAAGGAACCACGGGGCTGAGACGGCGGGTTTCCTGACGTTTCAGGGTGAATGGAAGACAGCTGATGGTAAAACTTGAAAACAGGGGACACGTCCTCCCAGACGGCGGAACCACGGTCAGACCCGTCAGGACATTAAACCCAAAATGACCAACAGCTGGTGTCCGCACAACGTCACCAGGATTCCCCGCCCTCACCCCGGCACACACAGCTCTGTGCACAGTGGCAGCTCCGCTCACACTGCGAACTTCGCTGCGCGACTCAGAACAGAAACATCACAGACTCTGAGAAGGTTCCTGCTCCAACGGACTCAGGGGGCGCTGTAGGACCGCAGCGCCCCCCGGGGGAGGAAGCCCTGGTGTGCACGTCGGTGCAGACAGGGAGACCAGTGCCCAGTGCAGAGCCCGGGCCTGAACCAGGGCAGAGCTGCGTCCCCGCCGAGCGCCCCCTTCCGGGGACAGGAGGGGACGGCACAGCTCCCCAGTTCTGCTCTGAGAAGTCAGTGCGGAAGGGTTCTCTCTGCCTCAGGTTTGTGTTCCAGGCTGTTTGTAAGACCACGACACCAGGCCGTGTCATAATAATTCCTGAAACTCCTGAGAAAACGATGTTGTACTTACTACGCACTGAACTGACGCCCCCATCAATCCCCATGTGGAAGGCCTGCCCCCAATGTGATGTTTGTGCAGACAGGTGTGAGGGAAGGGCCTGAGGTGGGGCCTCATGGTACAATCAGTTCTCCTGTAAGAGACGCCAGAGAGCTCGCCTCCTCTCTCTACCCACCCACAAGCTCCCAGGGAAAGTCACGTGAGGACACAGCAAGAAAGAAGCCACCTGCGACCCAAGGAGAGGACTCTCCTAAGACACCGACCCTGCTGGCGCCCCGACCTTGGACTTCCCGTCTCCAGAGCTGTGAGAGATAAATTCCTCCTGTTTCAGTCCAGTCTCTGGTATGTCACTATGGCGGCCCGACAGAACAGAAACTTTATTCTGTCATGGCCACAGGCTCACTACTCCTTTTGGGGAGCACCACAGAATAAAAAGGATGCAGTCCCCGCCCAGTTTTAGGGCTTGGCATTTTCTTCCCATCACTCCTTTCTCTGTCTCACTGTGAGCTCTCTGAGGACAGGAAGTGTGTCCTGTCCCGATTGGAATTGAGGGTTTAGGACAAAGAGGCCCTTAGTGAAGGTTTGCTGAATAAACATTAAGGTCCAGGGAGTATAACTATGAAACCCAAAGTTCTTCTACCACTGGGGCAACATGGAGCAGATATGAAAGCTGTCGTTTCATTCAGATTAGGTGAGGACACGTTCCCTCTTATGCTACTTCCTCCTTCCTCTCTGTCCTGCTTCACCTTTAATGTACCTACTACCTGTCTGACTATCACCTAACGTGCTCGTGTTGTTACAGGCAAAGAAGAGAAGGGCCAGGGCCGGGGGGAGAAAGACCCAGATGGCATCACTCCTGCAGGTTCCGAATCATCAGAGTGGCAGCGGCCACAGTTTCTCAAAAGGAAAACAAGTAGCAGACTTCACAGTAGCTCCTTTGCATTCACAGAGCATTTGAATTCCTTGGAAGCCCTCCCACACAGCACGATCACACATACTTTACTTAGGTCTCAACTTCCAAGGAGCAAAGATGTTTGTTTTGTGGTACTTCTGCTTCTGATTTGCTAACACAGGAGTCCTCAACCTGGGTGATTTTGGCCCCTGGGACATTTTCAATGTTTAGAGATGTTTCTCAGTTGTCACAACTGGAGGGGGTGCCTGCACCGGTGGCATCTGGTGGGTAGAAGCCAGGAACGCTGCTCTGTCCCCTGCAGTGCACACAAGAGCCTCCCCGCAACGCAGAACCACACAGCCCCAAACGTCAGCAGTGCTGAGGTTGGGAAATCGGCACTGAAACAATGTAGGAAGGAAAACGAGCCAAGATTGACTCTTATGAGGTGTTCTCAACTTAAAATTCTAGAGTCATCAATGACTGGTTTCTTGGTTCAGCAAGGACGGTCAAAACATAGTTAAGCCTGGCTGTCTGTAGAGGGTGCAGTGGTTGAAAGATGATCCTTCACCTGCTTGCTTTGGAAATGATCTTTCCCCACAGAGCACAAGGGGGCGCCAGAAGCCCACCTCACAGTGGTGCCCTCACACTGCCTCACTCCACACTGGAAAAAAGAAACACTAAGCAGGTGTGACAGTCACTGAAGCTCCTGTCCTGCAGAACGCAGTCAGCTAGGGGAGAAAATATAAATCACGTCTGTCACAGTTTGCACAACGCCTGGTGCAACCCCATGTTGTTATCCAGGCTGCATTATTTTTAGAGCCAAGTGAAGAGAGGCCTGTCCTACCCGTTTTCTCTTCAGTGCTCAGGGGCTGATCTGAGGACCTTCCCATCTAAACAGCAAAACTGTTCCCATTTAAAAGCTGACCACCATTCAGCCCTACTCAGGGGAGAGATTTACCCACTGAAGGGTAAACCAAATCGACAGGTCCATGAAAATGGAGCTCCCACGCACTGATGACAGAAATGTCATTGTCATTGCTCTGTCTCTGCCGTCACTCACAGTCTGGATGCTACATGAGTGCAAGGCTCCAAGTCAACCCTCCAGAAACATGAGGCCCAGGAGGCCAGTGTGGCAGACGGAAACCTGGCCGGAATCTGAAAAGGGGATGCCATTCACCCACTACTCTGAAGCCTCACAGCTAAAACCAGGACCACTGCTGGGGTCTTTTATCTGCAGCTGTGCAGGTGCCTCCGGGGGAGTCTGTTGTCCTACAAACTGTTCAGAGACACTCTGGGAGAAGAGTCTTAGGTCAGTGGTTTTGAACTTTTCATCAATTTTCCCCCAATGGATTTGTGTTATGAAAGATTTTCTCTATCAAATTGCATGTTAAAAATAATGTGTTCCATATATGTGACTGTTCATCCAGATTTTATTTAAAGATCAGTCCTTTTAAGAGGTTCATAACATGAAATACACAAACCGCTACTGCAGTTGTGATGCTTAGAAGCAACAAAGTTGAAGTAATTGTATAGCAATGCTTTTTGCTACTGGTCATGAATTCTGGCCATCTTTCTATTTATGTTTAGGAGGCTTCTTTATATATTCAGAGCTGTATGACATGTGGCTTTCCACCATTATTTCATTACCAACAGTGTTCCCTAAAGTTCAGAGTCATCAACAACCAGTAAGAATTTCTATCATCCAGCTGTTTTACTACATTGAGTTGATATAATTCTAGTAAATGCCAAGAGCGTCAACCTGCCTCCCCCAAACTGTTAATATTCTACTTAGAAGTCTTGGGAAATATTAAAAAATACATTTAAAAACTTTGAAGGACCCCAGGTATATAAGTAACACCATTCAAGACCTGTACTCAAAAAAGTTTTTAAAGAAAATTTTCTTTTTATCCCAGTGTACTGTGTATTTGGGGTCTACAAAAAGCCCATTGGTTATCCTACTTGAAAGGTTTAGAAGTATCCAATATACATAATTTTAATTTTATTTATTTATTATTTTTAAGATATTTTTTCAAAGACTTTATTTATTTATCTTGAGAGGGAAAGGGAAGGAGAGAGGAAGAGAAATATCAATGTATGGTTGCCTCTCATGTGTCCCTTGCTTGGAACTGGCCTTCACGCAGGTCTGTGCCCTGACTGGGAATCGAACCGTGACATAATTTAAATTTTAAAAAGCCAAACTTGCAATTCTCCTTCCGGGAATTTATCTGAAGTAATTGGAAACACGAATTCCAAAGTGTATGTGCACCCCTATGTTCATTGCAGTGTTATTTACAATCACCAAGATTTGGAAGCAGGCCAAGTGTCCATCTGTAGATGAGTGGATGAAACAGCCACGGTACATATTTACACAATGGAATACTACTCCACTGTAAAGAAGAAATGTTACCCTTTGTGACAGCACGGTTGGACCTGGATAACATTATGCTAAGTGAAATAAGCCAGTCAGAGAAAGACAAGCACCACAGGATTTCCTTCTCTCTGGGGGTTTAACGTGGAACTGAGGAGATCACACGTCACTAGATGTGACAGGCAAGGGTTTTCAAGAAGCAGTCAGTGACGGAGGTCACTGGGGAATTCCTGAAGATCGCCCACCAAAGCAGGGGTGGCAGGGACCACAGTGGCCTCAGAGACATTAGTCCTCACCTCCGGTCCGTGTCTCTGGAAATCTCTGTATGTTCCCTTTCCTTTGTCCTGTGCTTCAGTGACTTCACAAGACAGTGCAGAATAAAATGAGGTAAAACTCACCCTCTAAATCCCTTCACTGCTTACAATTAATCTAGTTTCTCTTGCTGCATCCCACAAAC